TTTAGCGAAGACCAGTCAATAGGATGGCTATGATCTCTGACGTGACAGAAAGAGCTTTGTTAGTGTGGGCAAGCCTAACACTATTTTTGTGCTCCCTAAGTCTGTCAGAAAGAGATCGACCAGTTTGTCCGAAGTATTAAAGGGAGGACAGGAGGAGCAAGAAATGGAGTAGACACCAGTAACATCTGTAGAGGGAGGAGAGGTATGAACAAGATTAGTGCGAAGAGTGTTAGTCTGGCGGAAGGTAAGCTTGATATCTAAGGGACGGAGAGAATTGTTGAGATTAGAAAGACCGGAAATGTAGGGAAGGCAGAGGATAAAAGAGTTCTCATGAGTAGAGAGTTTGGGAGAGAAGAAATTGCGTTTAGCACGTGAGAGGGCAGAGTCTATGAAATGGGAAGGGTAGCCAAGACGGGAGAACAAGGTCAAAGTCAACGGTTTCGTGTCATCTGTCCCTCTCTTCCCTATTTCTATGGCCTTCCCAAAACGCATAAACCTGATATTCCTCTTCGTCCTATCATATCCTCTAGAGGTTCTGTCTCTTATTCTCTTGCTTCTTGGCTGGCCAAATCCCTTACTTCCTTTCTTGGTACTTTTTCTCCTGCCCACCTCCGTCACTCTCAAGACTTCATTGAACGGGTTCGCTCTCTCCCAACCTGTAAGATGCTTAGTCTTGACGTTGAGTCCCTCTTCACCAATGTCCCTCTTGATGAGTCCCTTTATTTCCTTAGAGAGAAGGCCATGAAGGGTTTCTTCATCTCCCTATCCCCACTGATGTCTTTCTTGATCTGATCCGCCTCTGTGTGGACTCTAACTCCTTTTCCTTCCAAGGGAAATATTATTCTCAAACCTTCGGTTTTCGCTATGGGCTCTCCTCTCTCTCCTGTCCTTGCTAATCTTACATGGAATACTTCGAGACTGTTCTTCTTCCTGCCCTCGATGTGCAACCTTCACTCTGGCTCCGCTATGTGGATGACATCTTTGCTCTGTGGCCTCATGACTCCAGTCTCTTCCAACCTTTTCTTTAAGTCTTAATAATCTTGCCCCTTCCATTAAGTTTAAAGCTGAATGGGAATCTAATTTTTTTGCTTCCTTTTCCCTTTATGTCCAGGGCCACCGCTCAGATACAGGTTTTTCCTTTTCCGTTTACCGTAAACCCATGCACAGTGGCATGTGCATTCACTACTTTTCCTATCATGCTTCCCCCGTCAAGAAAAGTGTTTTTTATCTCCCTCTTTTCCGTGCCCTCCGCATCTGTGATCCTCCGTTCCTTCCAGCAGAAATTTCCACTTTCATAATTCGTTCTCCCGTCTTGGCTACCCTTCCATTTCATAGACTCTGCCCTCTCACGTGCTAAACGCAATTTCTTCTCTCCAAACTCTCTACCATGAGAAACTCTTCTATCCTCTTTCCTTCCCTACATTTCCTGTCTTTCTAATCTCAACAATTCTCTCCGTCCCTTAGACATCAAGTTTAACTTCCGCCAGACTAACACTCTTTGCACTAATCTCGTTCATACCTTCCTCCCTCTACAGATGTTCCTGGTGTCTACTCTATTTCTTGCTCCTCCTGTCCTCTTCAATACTTTGGAGAAACTGGTCGATCTCTTTCTGACAGACTTAGGGAGCACAAAAATAGTGTTTAGACTTGCCGACACTAACAATGCTCTTTTCTGTCACGTCAGAGATCATAGCCATCCTATTGACTGGTCTTCTGCTAAAACTGTCTTCCCTACTTCCAACTCGAACAGTCGCCGTCTAGTTGAATCCTCTCTAATACACAACTTTCCTTGTATGAACCTTAGCCCTGGCTTCGTCTCTGTAGATGCCTTCCTCTGCACTACATTGTAAAATGCTCCAAACTTCAGAACACCCGTGACTTAACCTGAATCCTCATTTTTTCTTTTTCTTTTTCTTCTTCTTCCTCTTCCCCTTTCCTCTTTCCTTTGCTCCTCTGGGTTGTCTTTCTCTCTCATGTCTCGTGTTTCTGTTCCTTCTTCATTTATTTCACCACTTCTCTTGCACGCACCTCTGTACGCTTGCTCTCCCTCTGTGGGCATCTAGCTCTCTTGCAGTGCTCCCCTTCCTTTGTATTTGACTGGCTCGTCCTTTTTATTTCCCACTTCTACCACTACCACTACTACTACCTCTTCTTCTTCTACTACTACTACAACTACTGATGAAATTAAGACACATGTGCTGCGTCTGGTTGTATTTGTTGTGGACGTTTCGCCATCCAGTGGCTGGCTGGATGGCGAAACGTCTATGATGGGGATGCCCGGGTGTTGTGCATGTGTCTTAATTTCATCTTGTCGGTATTATATACAACTCTTGTACTACTACTACTACTACTACTACTACCACCACCTCTTCCTGCCTATATATAGCCGTCCTGCTCCACCTCTCGTTAGTGTGACTTTGTCAATGGTCCAAGTCGGACCGAAACGTCGTCGTAAGCTTCTCTTTTTTATGTGCGGGTTATTTGTGTAAAGTGCCTAACAGCAGATCCTGTACTCACCTAGTGTGTGTGTGCGTGTGTGTGTGTATGTGTGTGTGTGTGCGTGCTACAGCTATTCAAGTGCCTAACAGCAGATCCTGTATTCACATAGTGTGTGTGTGTGTGTGTGTGTGTGTGTGTGTGTGTGTGTGTGTGTGTGTGTGTGTGTGTGTGTGTGTGTGTGTGTGTGTGTGTGTGTGTGTGTGTGTGTGTGCGTGCTACAGCTATTCAAGTGCCTAACAGCAGATTCTGTACTCACCTAGTGTGTGTGTGCATGTGTGTGTGTTATGTGTGTGTGTGTGTGTGTGGTGTGTGTGTGTGTGTGTGTGTGTGTGTGTGTGTGTGTGGGGTTTGTATGTGTGTGCATGTTGTGGTGTGTGTGCTACAGCTATTCAAGTGCCTAACAGCAGATCCTGTTCTCACCTAGTGTGTGTATGTGTGCATATGTTTATGTAAACAGTCCTTATTTCCCACGTATGTACAACATATGTATTGTATATGTACCCAATCTCTTGTTTCCCACTGTACTATCTTATGTGTTTAAAATTACGTTCAAAAATAAATACACTAGGCTTCGCCTGTATGCCGCTACCTCTAAATTCTATTAAATGCCAGTAAATGCTGCTTTTTCTAATTCTGATAGCTCGAGGAGAGTGACCCCCAATTCCAGCTAGAGACAGGTACTATTGACCCCATGCAACTCAAACTAGGTGAATATTACATGCGGCTGGCAGTGGAGTAACGTTGCGGGTCTGTCCTGTGTCCCAGAAGTTGAAGATGCTTGATGCTTCTCGGTAATTTTTCCACTAACTTCCTGTATGCACTATAGTCTCTAGCTCATCTAATTTTTTGTTCACTCACTGTATTTACTGACACATCTATACATATCTCTTATCTCCCTGGTCTTGAGTCGCACTTATTCTTCAAAATACTCCACTGCGTTATTATGGCAACACTATTTAGGCCTGACACAACCGTTCACATTCCTTCCCCCGGCCCCCACTAAACACTTAGTCACTATTTCCTTTGTTTTCTTTTCTGTGATCACTTATATTTCCTTTTTTCGGGACTTAAGTGATTATATGCACTCTTATGCGTGCACACGCCTATATCCCACACTCTATTCCTTATGGCACAGCCAGAAATTGCCACCAAAACACGAGCTCAAATCGCGTGACTCCTCCACGAGTGTGTGTGTGTGCGTATGTGTGTGTGTGTGTGTGTGTTTTGTTGTGTGTGTGTATGTGTGTGTGTCTGTGTGTGTGTGCGTGTGTATGTGTTGTAGGTGGGTGGAAGACTGATGTAGCTTTAATGAACAACATTCCTCTCCACCTGACTGGCATCTCCAGACACGGGGAAAAGACACACGATGCAGAACAAGTTTTCACCGGGAGACAACGTTCCGCTCTGTATAAGAGCTTTATCAAGTCGCAACAAAACTTTTCACAGAGCGAAACGTCCCAGTAAAAGCTCGTTCTGTAACCTGTGTGTTTACTAGTGTTGTCGTCACTAGGCTAATTGGATCCATCTTCAGACATTGACATTTACAGGTATATTTCAGTGTTGGTATATTTCATGTATAGTCCAGGAATATTTCAAAGTCTGTAGGTATATCCTCTTTAAAAAGAGGTAAACCTCAGAGAAAACTCTCTCCCAGGTTTACAAGTGATTCTTAATCCTCCCCTGTAATCCCCTGCCCATGTCCTCATGCTCGCCTGCCATTTGTCCAAAGACAGTTTTGGTTAATGAAAAATAATCCTTTCTTTTCTTTTTAATAATTATATTGAGGTATTATTTTGCATTTAGAAGTCTCCGGTGACTTACCTACAGCGGTAGCGCATCCGGCTCACAACCGAAGGACCTAGGATAGATCCAAGGACGTGTGTAGGCGTAGGAGAGCTTTAAAAAGACAAGTGACCAAACACTAGACATATTAGACAACGTTTCGGTCCTGGGACCCTGTTCAGGGTCCTAATATATATGTCCTAGTATTTGGTTACGAGTCTTTTTTAACGAATTTGTCGATATCAGTTATCAAATTTTGTACCATACGTAGTAATGTTTCTTTACACCAGTTAAACTTGTTCACCTAGCAGTATATGGGGGCCAAGGTGTTATACGACTCTTGAGCTGAGGTTGGATGACTGCTCTTAACCAGTAAATTCAACGAAGTTAAAAAAAAGGGCAAAATTACCTCGAACATTAAGAGATTCAACTGTGTCTCGCTCTTTCTCGCATTGTTAGTAAATAAATGCCTAAACATTGCGTGTTAGACCAGTAGTTTAAACATTTAAAAGCATCTTCCTTGTTCGTTCTTAATTACTGATAATAAATATATGAGATTCGATAAAAGTTAGAGCGTGAAAGATTTCATATAAATAAATATATCTATGCAGTCAAAATTTTGAGTCTATGTTCTCACGTAGACATCAGTATCATGTACTTGCATTCACATCAAAATTAATACTTGTATTCATGTTTATATCAACACTGTGTACTCGTACTCACGTCAACGTTGATGTATGGGAGAGGATAGACCCGGATGGGCGGTTTCCTCCTGGGGATGTACTCGTAGAACTGGTTGACGTCTCGATACCACTTGACCGAGTAGAGTGGGTCAGGGCGGTCGGTGCTGTGGTGATATTTACACTCCAGCTTGACAGTGGACCCCGACACGACCACTGGTGGTACCTGTACTCCCGACACCCGCAGACTCCAGCCTAAGGAGGAGGGGCGAGGACAAAAGTCAGAGAGGAAGAGTACATGGGGAGAGAGTAGGTATTCCGGCACTGGCTGCACTTGTTGCCCTGACTCAGGCAAACTATAGCCTGGAAAAGAGAAGATATGCGAAAGTCAGAGCAGAAAAGAGATACAGAAGAGATTTTATTTAGATTTTGCTTCGTAGAGTAAGGAAGGAGTATAAAGCAGTGGTTGACCTTATCACTTTTGTTGTTGCTGCTGCTGCTGCTACTGCTTCTGCTACTGCTACTACTGCTGCTGCTGCTACTGCTATTCCTGCTACTGCTGCTGCTTTTGCTGTTGCTACTACTACTACTATTCCTGCTGCTGCTGCTGCTGCTAATGCTAATACTACTGCTACTGCTACTGCTACTACTGCTGCTGCCACTGCTGCTGCTGCTGTTGCCGCCCTCACCGCTTCGCTGCCTCCACCGCTGCAGCTGCTGCTGCTGCTGTTACTACTGATACTAACTACTGCTGTCACTACCACCCACGGCTGCGCCACGGGGTGCGGTGTGCTTAAAAAGGAGCTAAAACTCCCGTAGACTCATGCAGTTTTCATTTTATTTAAAAATATCAATCAATGTATAATTATCGTGGTATAATACAACCCAGTGACCACTGCAACATGACAGTTTCAGAATTTTCACGTACATCCTGATTAAAACACTCCTTTCTCCGAGCAAATATTTTGCTAGTGGATTTGGGTTTGAGAAGGACCTGCCAAGTATGGGCCAGTAGGCCTGCTGCAGTGTTCCTCCTTTCTTATGTTTTATATTTAATGATTTCCTTTATTTTCTTCAGCATAATGTGATTGTTAACTCTCTGCTACTGACATCATGGCTTAAGCCTCTACACCCAGATTGAAATCCTGGCTTTAGCCCCATTGAAATCTGGTTTTAACCCCCATATCCAAGAAATCCTGGCTTTGGCTTCCATTGAAATCCTAGCTTTAGCTACTCTCCCATTGAAATCCTGCTTTAGCCCCCTCCCCATTGAAAATCCTTTCTTTTATCACCACTCCCTATTAAAATCCCGGCCCTAGACCCCCATGAATTCTTGGTTTTAGCCCCCTCACATTGAAATTTTGGCATTAGCCTCCTCCTCCAATGAAATCCTGGCTTTAGCCCCCTCCCATTGAAATCTTGGCTTTAGTCCCCTCTCCATTGAAATCCTGGCTTTAGCCCCCCTCCCACTGAAATCTTGGCTTTAGCCCCCCTCCCAACTGAAATCTTGGCTTTAGCCCCCTCCAACTGAAATCTTGGTTTTAGCCCCTTCTACCACTGAAATCCTGGTTTTAGCCCCCTCCCCAATGAAAATTCTGGCTTTTTACCATCCTCCATCTTAAAATCCTGACTTTAGACCCCATTGAAATCCTGGTTTTATCCCCCTCCCCATTGAAATCTTGTCTTTAGCCCCCTGTCCCATTGAAATCTTGGTATTAGCCTCCTCCCAATGAAATCCTGGCTTTAGCCCCTTCTCCCATCGAAATCTTGTCTTTAGCCCCTCTCCCATTGAAATCCTGGTTTTAGCCCCTGCCAATTGAAATCTTGTCTTTAGCTCCATCTCCCATTGAAATCTTGGCTACAGTTCCCTCCCCCATTGAAATCTTCGTTGTAGCCCTCTCCCCATTGAAATCTTGACTTTAGCCCCCTCCCCATTGAAATTTTGGTTTAAGCCCCTCCCTCATTGCAGTCTTGGCTGTAGCCATCTCTCCCATTGAAATCTTGGCTTTAGCCCCTCCCCAGTGAAATCCTAATTATAACCCCCTCCCCCATTTGAAATCCTGGCTTTATCCCCCTCCCATTGAAATCCTGGTTTTAGCTCTCTTTCTATTGAAATCTGGCTTAAACCCCTTCCTCCATTGCAGTTTTGGCTTTAGCCCCTCTCCTTTTGATATCTTGGCTTTAGACCCCTCCCCATTGAAATCCTAGTTTTAGCCCTCCTCCCCACTGAAATCCTGATTTTTAGCCCCTCTACTATTGAAATCATGATTTTAGCCCCTATTCCTATTGAAATATTGGTTTTAGCACCCTCCCCCCGTCGAAATCTTGGCTTGAACCCCCGCCCCCATTGAAATCTTGGATGTAGCCTCCACCCCCACTGAAATCTTGGTTTTAGCCCCCTCCCCATTGAAATCCTGACTTTAACCCCCCTCTCCCATTGAAATCTTGACTTTAGACCCCTTCCCCATTGAAATCCTGGCCTTAGCCCCTCCTCTTAGAAATCCTGACTGCGCCTCTGGCTGCTGTTGCTGCTGATTTTTCTGTTAGCTGGGAAATCCTTGGAATTACTATAAACAAAATATCAGTTGTTTAAATAAAGTATGATGATTTTCATCGTGACTGTTAATAATTTGTATTAGAAATCACCTTAAAACAGAAAAAATTTGCAGTAAAGTTCACGACTGTTGTGATGTCTCGGACGAAGCTACACCTTCAGTTGTCATCACTAACTTTTAACTTTAATGAAAATTATTCTAGACACTTTATTGACTTATATTCTTCCCTCCAACTACAACATTCATATCTCAAGAGGAATGATGCAAAATAGGAAAACCATTGTTACGGGAAAAATTTAGTTATATAAATGAGAAAATAAATTGATTAGTCACGGCGAGATACAGAGCCGGCCTCAGTACCAGCCTTTATGTACGGGAAAGGAATCAGCATCTTAAAGCTTCTTGGTGAGAGGGAGGGATAGGTAAGAGTCCGTGACTCACTGTTTGAAAAGTGTGCAAGCAAATACAGTAGCAGCAACAGACGAAAACGGAAGGTGTAAGTATTAGCAAAGAGTACCAGCAGAGGGAAAGGAAAGCAAGGGTCTGTGATTCATTTTAGCAGAGAGTACAATCAGCAGCAGCAGAGAGGGACGGGAAGGGACTCACCATTAGCAGAAAGTGCCAGCAGCAGCAGGAGAAGGCGCAGGGCCGCCGCGCACCACCCATCGTTATCCGGCACCATCTGGCAGAAGCAGAGTGTGGAGCCGCTACCTTGTCTCCGCTTACCCTTCACCATGCTCGCCTCGCCCAGCCTCGCCTCCTACGCAAGTGTCAAGGAGATATGAAAAAGAAGGGAAGAAACAAATTAGAACATCTCCCACATAAGTTATACAGTAAAGGAAGGAAGGAAGGAAGGAAGGAAGGAAGGAAGCAGACAGACAAGAAAACATCTAGTAATTTTGAGACATGGTTGCAAAGATGGAGAGCCAAGATAGAATAAGACTTACAGACGGTGAAAGGAGGGCAACAGACCATAAAGAAGAGAACAGAGACAGAATAGGAAGGGTGGAGAAGGACAGACAGGGTATTAAGGGATGTGGTAAAACAGATGGACTGGTTAGGAATGAAGCCTATTAACTGTATGGCTGTCATTGAGACTGAAAACACCAGTACAACCTAAAATAGGGAAAATAAACTCTAAGTGTATGTACGCTGCGAGATACACATTTCTGTGTATATACACTGAGGTACATACCTCTCGATGTATCTGTGAAAGTTAAAGACAGTTACTGAGGATCAAGAAACGAATGTTAAGGTCAGCTATTGAGTACCACCAGACGGATGATGGCAGGGTCACTGGAAGGTTAAAGTCAGTTACTGAGTACCACCAGACGGGTGATGGCAGGGTTACTGAAAGGTTAAGGTCAGCTATTGAGTACCACCAGACGGATGATGGCAGGATCACTGCAAGGTTAAAGTCAGCTACTGAGTACCACCAGACGGGTGATGGCAGGGTTACTGGAAGGTTAAGGTCAGCTACTGAGTACCACCAGACGGGTGATGGCAGGGTTACTGGAAGGTTAAGGTCAGCTACTGAGCACCACCAGACGGGTGATGGCAGAGTTACTGGAAGGTTAAGGTCAGCTACTGAGTACCACCAGAACGGTGAAGGCAGAGTTACGGGAAGGGTTTAAGGTCAGCTACTGATTTACCACCAGACGGGTGATGGCAGAGTTACTGGAAAGTTAAGGTCAGCTACTGAGTACCACCAGACGGGTGATGGCAGGGTTACTGGAAGGTTAAGGTCAGCTACTGAGTACCACCAGACGGGTGATGGCAGAGTTACTGGAAGGTTAAGGTCAGCTACTGAGTACCACCAGACGGGTGAAGGCAGAGTTACTGGAAGGTTAAGATCAGCTACTGAGTACCACCAGACGGGCGATGGCAGGGTCACTGGAAGGTTAAGGTCAGCTACTGAGTACCACCAGACGGGTGAAGGCAGATTTAAACGGGAAGGTTAAGATCAGCTACTGAGTACCCCCAAAGACGGTTGATGGCAGGGTCACTGGAAGGTTAAGGTCAGCTACTGAGTACCAACAGACGGGTGATGGCAGAGTTACTGGAAGGTTAAGGTCAGCTACTGAGTACCACAAGACGGGTGAGGGCCCAGGGTCACGGGAAAGGGTTAAGTCAGCTACTGAGTACCACCAGACGGGTGATGGCAGAGTTACTGGAAGGTTAAGGTCAGCTACTGAGTACCACCAGACGGGTGAAGGCAGAGTTACTGGAAGGTTAAGATCAGCTACTGAGTACCACCAGACGGGCGATGGCAGGGTCACTGGAAGGTTAAGGTCAGCTACTGAGTACCACCAGACGGGTGAAGGCAGAGTTACGGAAGGTTAAGATCAGCTACTGAGAAACCACCAGACGGTGATGGCAGGGTCACGGGAAAGGTTAAGGTCAGCTACTGAGTACCAACAGACGGGTGATGGCAGAGTTACTGGAAGGTTAAGGTCAGCTACTGAGTACCACCAGACGGGTGATGGCAGGGTCACTGGAAGGTTAAGGTCAGCTACTGAGTACCAACAGAGGGGGTGATGGCAGAGTTAAACTGGAAGGTTAAGGTCAGCTACTGAGTACCACCAGACGGTGAAGGGGCAGAGTTACTGGAAGGTTAAGGTCAGCTACTGAGTACCACCAGACGGGTGATGGCAGAGTTACTGGAAAGTTAAGGTCAGCTACTGAGTACCACCAGACGGGTGATGGCAGGGTTACTGGAAGGTTAAGGTCAGCTACTGAGTACCACCAGACGGGTGAAGGCAGAGTTACTGGAAGGTTAAGGTCAGCTATTTGAGTACCACCAGACGGGTGAAGGCAGAGTTACTGGAAGGGTTTTAAGATCAGCTACTGAGTACCACCAGACGGGCGATGGCAGGGTCACTGGAAGGTTAAGGTCAGCTACTGAGTACCACCAGACGGGTGAAGGCAGAGTTACTGGAAGGTTAAGATCAGCTACTGAGTACCACCAGACGGGTGATGGCAGGGTCACTGGAAGGTTAAGGTCAGCTACTGAGTACCACCAGACGGGTGATGGCAGAGTTACTGGAAGGTTAAGGTCAGCTACTGATACCACCAACGGTGATGGCAGGGTCACTGGAAGGTTAAGGTCAGCTACTGAGTACCACCAGACGGGTGATGGCAGAGTTACTGGAAGGTTAAGGTCAGCTACTGAGTACCACCAGACGGGTGATGGCAGAGTTACTGGAAGGTTAAGGTCAGCTACTGAGTACCACCAGACGGGTGATGGCAGGGTCACTGGAAGGTTAAGGTCAGCTACTGAGTACCACCAGACGGGTGATGGCAGAGTTACTGGAAGGTAAAGGCAGCTACTGAGTACCACCAGACGGGTGATGGCAGGGTCACGGGAAGGGTTTAAAGGTCAGCTACTGAGTAACCACCAGACGGGTAAATGGCAGAGTTACTGGAAGGTTAAGGTCAGCTACTGAGTACCACCAGACGGGTGAAGGCAGAGTCACTGGAAGGTTAAGGTCAGCTACTGAGTACCACCAGACGGGCGATGGCAGAGTCACTGGAAAGGTTAAGGTCAGTACTGAGTACCACCAGACGGGTGAAGGCAGAGTCACGGGAAAGGGTTTTAAGGTCAGCTACTGAGTACCCACCAGACGGGTGAAGGCAGAGTCACGGGAAGGTTAAGGTCAGCTACTAAAGTACCACCAGACGGGTGAAGGCAGAGTTACTGGAAAGGGTTAAGGTCAGCTACTGAGTACCACCAGACGGGTGAAGGCAGAGTCACTGGAAGGTTAAGGTCAGCTACTGAGTACCACCAGACGGGTGAAGGCAGAGTCACTGGAAGGTTAAGGTCAGCTACTGAGTACCACCAGACGGGTAAAGGGCAGAGTCACTGGAAAGGGTTAAGGTCAGCTACTGAGTCCCAACCAGACGGGTGAAGGCAGAGCCACGGGAAAGGGTTAAGGTCAGCTACTGAGTACCACCAGACGGGTGAAGGCAGAGTCACTGGAAGGTTAAGGTCAGCTACTGAGTACCACCAGACGGGTGAAGGCAGAGTCACTGGAAGGTTAAGGTCAGCTACTGAGTACCACCAGACGGGTGAAGGCAGAGTTACTGGAAAGTTAAGGTCAGCTACTGAATACCACCAGACGGGTGATGGCAGAGTCACTGGATAGCTTGTTGAGAAGACTGGTAAGGATAGAATGGGAGGAGAGACTTAATGAACTATGAATGAAATATACTCACAAAAGTATAATATATACGAGGTATTATGTCTGCGCCATAAATTTCCTAGGACAGGCTATAAAATATACGTTGAATTTTTTTAATATTAAAGGGCTGGATGATGTATTCTTATAATAAAATATATTAATATCCCATTAAAATAAGGCTGTAGGATACGAGACTTGCAAAACTATACAATAGGATACTTTCTGGTAATGGTTGTACTCAAAATATAATACAATAGCATCTTTATAATGCTCCTTGTACATTCTGGTGATTTTTTTTTTTTTTTGCAAATGTGATTAAAAAAAGATGAATATACCTCGGAAAGGCCTTCATGGCATTCGCTGCTTAATTTGCATGCACTTTTTCACTTGTATTGAGAGGATTTCACAGCTTGGTTGATCAGGCTCTGATTCACCGGAAGGCCTGGTTGGGGACCGGGGCCCCACGGGGGCGTTGCCCCCGGGGTCGTCCCCAGGTAAAGTTACTGGAGCTTAATTAATATTGGAGCTTACTGTATTGTGATCGCGAGGAACAAGCTTCACCATAACCTCTACCGATCAGTGGGAGAGCTCTTGATCCAAGGAACTGGATCCACCCTCTCCTTGTTCCATGTCTTGTTAACTCCCATTCCGGAGGCTACAGAGCTTCCCTTGACTAATAATATTAAAAATAAATATGGGCGTCGACCTAGAATGACTGTGTTATATTTATGTTCATGGCGCTCCATCTCAAGTGTTCTTTAAGTAGTATAATTTTGTGGTTGTAATACAAACTTCTTCTTCTTCTTCTATACCTTTCTAACACTTGGTCAATCTCTTGACTAAGAAATATTTTTTTTTAACATAATTTCGACCCTTTTTTTTCTTTTGTTTCAAGTTTAATTTCGTGCGGCCCCCTTGTTTTCCAGGTTGCTAAACAAAAATAAAGATTTTTCGTATCTTTTATGATCTTATCTGTAGCTATTTATCTATTTTTTAGGTGATAACGATTACATTTTCAGTGTTTTTCAATCTTTGTTCCAGGTCAATCTCTCGTAGCTTCCAGAGACATTTTCTAACAGGCCTTAAAACGTCAAGCATTTTATTAACGTCACTAGGTATTCCTGTACGGGTAACATTAAACGATTGCCCGAATTTATTTTTCATCCACTGGGCACCATCTGATTCATAAGAGGCATCAGCTTTTAAAAATTAGTCTTTCAGAAGAGGTAAACTTAATTTATTTCATGGTTGAAATACTACACTATCTTAAAAAATAATAGATGTATTGGCACCTGCACATTCCAACAACAATCAAAACCTCCTTTTATGTAAGATAGACCAGTGTTGAGTGTATGAAGCCTATGAAAAGAGGCTTTCTCAATTTATCTCGCTGAAATTAATTCTGAAAATGTTTTGTATGTATGAAATCACGATACAAGTGATTATGAAACATTTACCAAACTGCGGCAGGCCAGGATTCGACCCTACGAACATTGTGCCGCCTCCAGAGACAACACAATGTACGTGTCGCCCTACC